TGCTGAAAATTTTGGCCTTATTTAACTAGCATTAAATAATTCCTTCACATTCTTGATTGCCTTTAAAATTCCACTCTGTTTGTTACCATGGACAGCCTCAGCCTTTCCCAGAAAGGGAAGTTTAATTTCTGTCAAACTATTGCATGATTCTGGAGTTCACAGAAGTGAAGGCAGAAAGTATTTCAGCTCTGCCTATGAACTGACTGGAAAGGGGGAAAAGAGGTCAGTTGGAGAGGAACTAAAAGTTAAAATGAAAGTAATCTTTACTTTTCAATTAGCTGGTAAAAGGGTCCCTTGGTAATGCTCAACCCTGCAGTGAAATGTAATGTGGCTTACAATCTGAAGTGAAAGAGTTCAGGGATGGAAAACAGCCACAGTTCAGCCTGTTGGACACAGACCTGAATTTGAGGAAGATTAAGTTCATTGCCACATGCTGAGCTGCCTCTGAGACAGACTTACAGGTGCAGTGCCCTTGTAGCCATCCTCTGCAGTGTTGTTAGTGGGGAACTGTCCCTGCCACACGTTGGCATAGTGCTGACCTCTGGGCTGCAGCTTGTTGCCCCAGGGGAAAAGCCTGGGAAGAAAAACACATAGCAGGTGTCAAACACAATGGTTAAAATCAGGGTTATACAGAATCACAGAGTGGTTTGGGTTGGAAGGACCTTAAAGCTCATCCCATCCCACCCTGCCCTGGGCAGGGACACCTCCCACCAGCCCAGGCTGCTCCAACCCCATCCAACCTGGCCTGGAACACTCCAGGGATGGAGCAGCCACAGCTGCTCTGGGCACCCTGTGCCAGAGCCTCAGCACCTCACAGGGAGCAATTCCTGCCCAATATCCCATCCATCCCTGCCCTCTGGCAGTTGATGCCATTCCCTCGTCCTGTGCCTCCATCCCTTGTCCCCAGTCCCTCTGCAGCTCTCCTGGAGCCCCTTCAGGCACTCCAGCTCTCCCAGTCTGTCCCATAGCAGAGCTGCTCCAGCCCTCAGAGCATCCTGGTGCCTCCTCTGGGCTCACTCCAGCAGCTCCATGTCCTTCCTGTGTTGGTACCCAGAGCTGGAGCAGCATTGCAGGTGAGGTCCCACCTAAGCAGGGCAAAGGGGCAGAATCCCCTCAGTGCTGCCCACACTGTGGGATGAACACAGGACACACTTCTGAGCTGCCAGTGCATGTGGCTGGGCCATGCTGAGCTTTCCATCCACAAACCCCTCAAATCCTTCTCCCCAGGGATGGTGTCCATCCATTCTCCATCCAGCCCATCCTTGTGCTTGGGGTATTTCCTCACAAGAAAATGCCAGTGAGGGCAATAAAACCCCTCACAGCTCTTCCTCGTGCAGCCAGCAGCAGTTTTGGGCACTGCCAAGCCCCCCCTGCAGTACCTGTTCTCCAGGCCCCCTCGGCAGCTGTACTCCCACTCAGCCTCCGTGGGTAAGCGCTTCCCTGCCCACCTGCAGAATGCCACAGCATCATTCCAGGACACGTGGAGGACTGGGTGGTCCATCCTGGGAAACACAAGGACCAGAACAAGCCCTGAGCAGAGCCAGGCCAGCCCAGAGCCACACAGCACCACGTGGCACTGAGATGGGCACCCAGGACCACTCAGTTACAGCTGGATACAGCAGCAGGTGACTTGCACAGAAAAGCAGCTGCTGAAGGAAAGGCAGAAGGTGCTGGGAGGGAAATGCAGAGGAAAACAAGGAAAAAATCTCTGACTGCTGTTTGCTCCTGGTGCTCCTACCTCCAGCTCTACAGGTAAAGATATCTCTGGCTTGGTTTGCTCACGGTTGCTCCACGAGGCCCTTCCCATGTGCCACACTGACCAGCAGCTGTGCCAGGCCAGGTTTGCACCACACTTGTCCAAGCCTGGATTTCCATGGCAGGTTTCCAGCTCCTGTCTGCTGGCTCTGACCTCAATTCCTGTCTCCCCCTAACAATGCCTCCAGCTATTATCTCTATTTTTGCCTCAGATAATTCTTTCCCTGCCCTTGGAGAACAGACAGTGGACTTGTTACTGAGCACCTCAGCCATCAGATGATGGAGCACTGACACAGCCCTGTCCTTAGAGGACTCAAAAACATGCCAGATCTAGGCTAGGGAGTCTGACTTGATTTCAGAACTGCTGTTTGAAACTTTAACTAGCTGAGGAAGTGCCAACTTCTGACACCTGCCTGGCGACAGGAGCAGTTGCAATGTGGAATCACAGGCTGGTTTGGGTTGGAAGGGATCTCAAAGCTCATCTAGTTCCACCTGCCCTGCAGTGCACGTGCAGCCAGTATTGAGTCCTCCTCTCCAAATCCAGATCTGCACTAAGTTTCTGACCTCTGAAGATCTGCTCTGCTTCACTGCTGGCACACAAAAGTGAACAGCAAACATACTGGGGCAGGTTTCAGTGTGGTCTCTTGTCCCTTGGGTGGAAAGTCCTTACAGACCTGTCTGAAATGGTACCACAGTGTTGACCACAGGACCGTGGGACATTGCATGGAACACTCAGCAAGAAGGGAAAATAGTCCCAGAAGCAGCAGCAAACTGATAACTAAATAAAACCCTTTCTGGCACCTCCACTCCTGTGGGAATTACAGATCTATGATCACTGTGTACTGTGACTGGATGTTCATGGCTTACCTGCTGGAGATGCTGGAGTCAGGACCCTCAGGGTGCCTCCAGCTGGCTCCTTTCACAGGCAACCACCAGGGAGCAGCTGCAACCTGAAAAGGGACCGGGAAGAAGACTTCAGAATGGCCTTGAGCTGGGAATTTCAGAAGCAGCAGGTGACGACAGGCTCAAAGCTGTCACTGACAGCTCACGGCTCTGCCCACAGCCAACCCAGCTCTGAGTTCCAGATCAGCAGGTTTGGGCTGGAAGGGACCCTAAAGATTATATCATTCCAACATCTACCTCCAGCATTCCAGTCATCTCTGACCAACCAAGATGATCATATGGTCCACCTTGAATTACAGCACAAAGAAAACACACCCAAAAACAAGCAAGAGGGAGACCAAATGCTGAGCATCCTTCTCTGGGTCACTGCTCTCTGCCTGGCTCTCCTTCCCTTCTACACTGTCCCACCTGCAGGTCTGACACAAGGCACATTTGCTCCCCCTGAAGGCTCAGCCCTCAACACAACACCTATGATGGACCACAGTCCCCTCAGACTCTCAGTTCTTGCCCCCTGAAAACATCTGAAGACATCTGAAGACCCTGGCCCAGGGTGCCCAGGGAGGCTGTGGCTGCCCCAACCCTGGCAGTGTTCACAGCCAGGTTGGATGAGCCTTGAGCAACCTGCTCTGCTGGGAGGTGTCCCTGCCCAGGGCAGGGGCTGGAAGATCTTTAGGTCCCTTCCAACCCAAACCCTTCTGTGACTGATTCTAACCTCCTGCTGCCTCCAGTCTGATTCAGCACAGAGGATAAAACACAGAACAATTTTGGCTTAAAGAACGTTTGCACCCCAGTTATTTGCTCCCAGCTGACACAAACCCCTGACCATGTCCTTTCACCAGGGGTCAGAACACACATCTTGCCACACGTTTGCTTTCCAGCCCATTAACTCCCTAAGTTGATTCTAAATGATTTGCTTTCAGCTTCCAGGAGGTGGAGACAGAAGAACCACACAAGGGAAGTGAAGCATGAAGCTTTTCCTCTTTTCCCCCCTTAGCTGCCTTGCTGAGCAGCATCACACAGCCAAAATCCTCTGCAACAATGCAGATATTGAGTACTCCTCTAACCAAAAGTCTCCAAGGTGGTTCTGCAACACCAAGGAATTATTCCTGGAGGACATTCATTAAGGATTTCTGCTATTAAGCTTCAGTGCAGAGCATGTTTAACTGTTCTGATCCACATTCCCTTAGAATAGTTATCCTAATAACAGGATATTAGGAATGGGTTTACTCCAGCAGCTTCCAATACTCCTATTACACAGATAATGCCTATAAAGAACTATGATATTTACTATCTATTTACTATTTACTATAAAGTACAATAATATTTACTTCTTTTCCTTGTAAACACTGTCAAGTGCTGTAAACACAGGTAGGAACTGTGTCAGTATCATTATCCCTTAACTCAGCAAACCCTTCCCAGGGAAGTCCAAACCACAGCACAAGTCTGGTCAAACTATTTTAGCAGCAGCTAAAAGTCAGCAATGACAGTTCTCCAAGCTCCTCTCTGATCTCCCCAGCACGTAATGGACTATGCCCACTCACTGTCTAACAGCCAAGGACAGTCTCACCACGAGGAAAACAGCTTGAGGAATATTTGCTCTCTTCCTAGGAACTACAGCTGTTCCTGAGCCTTCAAACCCAAAATGGGACTTGATTCAGCCACCCTGCTCAGCTCTCACAGCACTAAAGCTTCAGAGTGACCTATCTAAACAGATACTACAGCCAACAGGTTTAAAACTAGTCTGTTTTAACCAACTCCTTGCCTATTTTGAGATTTGACCTTTAAACTATCCTCAAGATGGGCCATAAATCCAAAATTAGCATTTTAAAGCTCTTTAAGGCAAATAAAAGAGCAGCTGAAGGTTCTCTGTGAATCTGAGATCCCAGTAAAGATTTCATCCCGATAGTTCCTAAGCACAACACATCTTGGTAACTGAAACTGCTGGAGTTTGGATAAAAACATGTCTGCAGGAGACTGCAAGGCTTACACTGTGGAACCCTTGAATTTAGGGGAACATTTCAGTGCTGCTCTCAGTCAGAGCAGGTTGTTTCAGCCCAGAGCCATATCTCTCCACACGAGAGCACTGTGTGCACCTTGCTGAGCTGAGCCCCAGATGGCTGCCAGGCTCTGCAGGGCACCCTGAGCCTCACAGCAGCTCCACATCCAGCACCAGGACAGGGGGAACACAGCCAGACTACCCTAATTCACCAGAACTCATCCCAGTCAGCCACTGACACCACTGAACACATCTGATCTCCTGCCAGAGGGGAAAAGCAGGGACCTGAAACCCACAGGCCCTTCACAGAACTCCTCACAAGTCTTTAAAGCTTTTAATTGCTCTAAATCTAATTAGCACAACAGCTAATTAGGCAGAGATATTACAACATCGCAGTTAACACAGCAAAGCCCTCCCTGGCCACTGAGGAGCTTAGTTACTTTCATAACTCTGTGCCTTCCCCTGAAACGTGTGTTCCTGCTCTGCCAACCAAGTCCTCCTGGCCAAGCAGCAGCAGAGGCTGCTGAGGAGATCTTGAGCTGGAGGACAGTGTCTCCTGCACTGTGGCTAACCCTTGGAGCAGGACCTGCCCTGTCCCACCTCACCACCCCTGCCCTGCCACATTACACAACTGCTCTCACAGGCAAACACAGGGCAGAGGCACAAAGGCTTGTTTTGCTCTGATCCAGCTGGAAACATGGATTATCCTGCTCTCTGCTCCAGGATTAAACTGTAAGAACTCACTGTTCTGAGCACAGGATGATAGCACTGGGCAGAGATCGGTTAACTCCGACCCACGAGCGGAGCAATCTGCAGAGCTCAAGCCTCTCCTCCCACCAGCACACAGCTCCAGCTTCTAAGGATTCCATTTTCTTCCCCAAGTAGGCTGGGATAGCCTAACTTTAATTGCTCCATTAACATGTGATTTCAAGACTTTTTAGCCTACTTTAGAGTTATCTGGAGGAAAATTCCTTCCTAAATAGATGCAGAAAAAATGAAAGGAGGAACATGACAAAGTGTTTCACTGTCAGTATTACCCTGTTAGTGGTGCTGCAGTAGGGAACACCCTTCAGAACCACCCAACCCTCAGCCAACAGTCACCAAAACGTGTTAGCCTTGCCCTGGTCATGTCTGAGGAACAACAAGCCCCACCTGAGCTCCAAACCCCAAATGTACCAGAGAAACTCCCAAAAATAAACCCTACAGAGCAGCTCCTCTTGGCTCAACCCCAACACGTCCAGCCTGCAGCAGGTCCCTTGAGATAACAAAGCTG